CATATACCGTATAATAATAGTGATGGCATAGACAAGTCATTATTGCAGCTAGCATTCTAGGGACTCAGCATTCAAGGGGCTCAAAGTGAGCTCCAGGATTCTGTACCCAGAATACAAACACACACATTGCACTTAGTTACTGTCAAATTCTCATCATAAATAAAAAACCAGCAAAGGGAAACAAATGTTTTTAAACATATTCTTCCATACAGATCTGTCAAAGAAAAGAAAATATGCCTAGCTTAGAACTCTTGATGACTTAAAAAATACAAGATCCATAAAACTAACACTCTCCATAATACTGCTCTTTGTAAGTATGTTCTCTCCAGTTTTATAAGGACATTTTACAATTCTAGTCAAATTCAAGTATTCTTTTAGTGTCCTAGGGAGTAAAAAATTCAAATCTAGCTTTAGTTAAAATAACTAAAGCCAAATTTTACCAAAATTGACTTTTTATAGGATATATGGAAGAAGGGACATAACTGATATGTATTTTCTTCAGAAACATTTTGTCAGAACTGCAAGATTTCCTTCCCTTACATTTTCTGTTTATACCGACATGAAGAGCGTTCTTAGTTAAATGAACAGCCAACAGTACAACTAACCATACTGGGAATCTAAGTCTTGTCTGTTAAAGGAAAGAATGAAACATCAACATCTGATTGGTCTAATTTGAGGTAACCAATGACAGAGTTACATTTTTTTATAACCTTTCAGCTCTTCTAGAAGAGTTACAATATCAAAATTGATAGCTCCTATCTTTCTTCATAACTTGTATCAGATTCTAACAAAGAAGATAGAGTGTTTTTTTAGAGAATTAATATCAAAATTACAAAATATGATGAATCGTTTTTCTATTTATTCATAATAAAGGATCAAATTTAAATTAATATACACACACACACAATATGAGGGATCTTATTTTTCGCTTGCAATTTATTCCATCTATTAAATGCAAAATATGAGGCTGTTGCAGTAATGCAGACATGGCATTCACATTATTGTTAATTCTGCCAAAGACGGACAATTTATTCTCCATATTTCAATGTAAAATTGTAGCCCATTATGGTAATCATAACAACTGCTTTTGTTATGAAGCTTGCAGAGTTATTGTCAATTCATGATATTTCATCTTTGATTATGTCCCTCTTTATTATCACATTCTTCAAAATTTCATCTTTCATTATTGGATGGCCTGGTCTTCAAAGGAATAGCTTTATAGAAACAGTCAGTGACTTTCAGTATCAATTTTTGTATATTTATATTTTCAATATGTTATATAGTCATTATCAGTTCTGCCTTTTGTAAAGTGCCTTTAAATATAACCTACTAACTTTATATATTATGGACTTGCCCTGCTTTTACAAAGAAACTTTTCATTTTTCATGTTTATCTTTATGATATCAAAATTTTTTAATTTTTGCGTCGTCAGAACCCATGGTACAGTCATTCCTTATACACAACACAGGCACGAGTATCGGACCTGGGAAGAAAAAATATGACCAGACTGATAATAAAACCTGTGTTCATCTTAAAAGTGTCAAAAACCAAAAAAAAATTGTAAATAATGACCCCCTTTAAAAATATATTATAAGTTACTCTTAACTTATAGTATATTTTTAAAGGAGGTCATTATTTACATTTTTTTTTGGTTTTTGACACTTATAAGATGAACACAGGTTTTATTATCTATCTGGTCATATTTTTTCTTCCCAGGTCCGATACTCGTGCCAGAGTGTGATACACAACATTAATTTTAATACCATTGACATTATATCTACAGTCAGTTTTCCCAGGGTATTTATAAATACTGGTATACAGTAAATAGCTTGGATTACAATGAATTTTTAGCAGCCAATGGTTAAAAGACTGGTCATTTTTAAGCTTTTACCTGCTGGAACTGAAAGGAATTAGCCTTTGAGAAACAGGCCATATTTCTAGGCCCTATAATGATGGCCGACTAACTTCAAACTTTCATAATCCTTAAAATTAATAATGAGGAGTTCAATAAATGGAAGCTCGACATGTCAGGTGAAGAAATTCAGCCTTTTAAGGGTTAAATCACACCAACACTATATAGGTCATAATTATGGGGATTTTCCAACTTTACTGCATGAGGAAGACCCCCATATGACCCAGGAGCCCAGGCGGACCCCAAACACTATATAGGTCATAATTATGGGGATTTTCCATTTACTTTACTGCAGGAGGAAGATGCCCCTCCCTGTATATTTTATGGCACAAGATGACTAGTGTAGAATCACTATCTTCAGTAAGCTTAGCTGAAGTCTTCCTAACATGACCTGAAGGGACTGAAACCCACAAAGGTTATTGGCAAATAATTTTTAAAGTCAACAACCTTAAACCACACAGCCATAGAGGCCCAAAGAAAATGGTCAAAGTGCATTAGATGCTTGCAGTCAAAGGGTAAAATGAAATGCATACACAGATATCATGCAATTTCAAACAATTAAGAAACATTTTATTCAATGCATCTTAAGTTAATAACCATGGAAAAAAGTTGTTTTATATGTGATATTACATGTATAAAATCATATCAAAATTGTGGGGTTTTTTTAGGTTTTTTTTTCCTGATGATATCATAATAATTTTAAAGTTCCTGTTTAGAGATTTTTATTTGTCATTGTTTGAACTAAAATTTCAAATTAAGTATTTACATTATTGATATTTCTTAAGGTGTGAATGATTTTCATACAATTTATCTCAGTAGCAGACCATCAATTTTAACATTCTTGATAGTTTGCTTCTAGCACATATTCACATATTCTAGGCTCCATTTTTAAAACATGGAAAAGGGAGCATTAATTATTATGTCTACAATAATGTTAAACTATGAAAATCTAAATTTTCAGTTTATAAACCTCTTGATATTGAAAAAGCAGGCAAAAACATTTGAAATAGGTTAAGTCAGAATATCAATGGGTAATTTTACCTTTGGGTAATATGGAAATGGCTATATTTGCATTATTTTCATTAAATTTGCTTTCCAACATGAATTGTAAAATGGTATTAAAATAAAATGTGGATTTTCTGTGGGCATTCAATACTGTAATTTCTGTGTAAATATTGATAGTTATTTTACTATTAAAATCAGGCAATTTTTACTAATGTTTATTCATGAAAAGTATTATGGAAGAATAATAATACAGTCAAGTTGAAAAGTTTTTATTTTTCTCAATGCGTGAAACAACATTTACTAAATTAGGTTCTACAATTGACATGTAATGTACACCTACACATGTAAGCATTTCTTTATGCAAGAATCTTTATTTTGAAACCATTCCTTACTCACAAAAATCTGCTTTTACTTTGATTTACCATGTTTCTTCAAAACAACTATATTGACAGACCTTTTATTGAACATGTTCAACATTTGCAACAAGAATAATTAGAAGGGAAATAAATTGACCTAATCAACTAAGTGACAGATCATATAACAGCTTCAATATTTATTCTTCTTTATTCAGAAATTATTCTGTCTATTAGTTGAGGCAAATGAAATCTTTGAAATGAAATGAAAAAACATGCATTTTTTTTATAATTTTGTTATTTTCTATTCAGATTAAATTTCTTAATTGGAAGGACATAGCTGAAACAAACTATTGCAAAAATTTAATTTTTTGCAGACAAAGAATATTTTAATTTGCTTATTATATAATTATATTTATTCTGGACCATTAAATTGCCTTTTGAAAGATAAATAGATATTTTCTGTTTGCCGTATTTGGCTATCAAAACAATTGTCCTTGACTTTACTGGTATCCTGTACACTTACAGTAGTAAATTTAACGGCTATGTATATGAAGAATCAATTAGTTACGCAAGTTCTGGAGCTGTCCAGTTAGCTCAATAGGTAGAGTGTTAGACTGTGAATCGGGCCACCCAGGTTCGATTCCCAGATGGCGCAGGTCTCTTTCCTTGTGATTGATCATGATGAAATCCTTTCTAAGGTCATTCACACTGTACCTCTGCTCTTGCATGTACAGAAGTATTCAGTTCCTTGTGAAAGTGACGGCAACTAGTACTGGTAAACTGCATGACAGCCTGCCCAGGAATGATGCGGTGGCTAAACTGTGCTTTGGTAAACTCAATGTGGCTTACTAATCCAGAGTGAAAACTATCGACACCACCATTACAAGTTCTGGTGCAGTAATGTTACAGTTTTCAACTTTATTTGTACAATGTGAAAGTCTCTTGTGTATGAGTACATCAAGACTATAAATAAACCTGTCTGAGGATGAAACGACAGATACTGGACAAATATTGGACAATAGATGAAAACTATACACAAAGGGATAATAGGTTACATCGAAAAAAAATAGCAGACAACAATATGTTTCTTATGGATTGTCTTCTTCCTACTAATGTAAAGCTTTATAAACTTTGTCATAGGCTTGTTTCAGTTAGTCATTCTTTTCATGGGTGTGGTGGGGATAGGGGTGCAGAGGAGTAGGGGAAATATATATGGATTGTAAGCTTGGATTTCAGATGGCCATTTTTGTTTGGTGGGGGGGATTAAGTCACACTTTTAGGAAAAATTGTTCTACCTATTAAAACATTATCACTTGTACTGAAGAATTGGTTTAAACATATTTATTTAAGCTTGATTGCGAAACAAGTTCTTGCAACTTATATTAATCACTTTCGAGTCCGCTTCCTGGAACCAACCAGTACTGGTGTCATATGGAGAAACATGGTCGTGACCCGAGTAGGGCTCCAACCCATGATCTCTGGGTTGAGAGGCAGACACCTTTACCACTAGGCCACCGCTCCCCTGAAGAATTCAGTTAAAGAGTAAAGAAAAGTTTTTGAAAAAGCAGAAAGGCAAAAGAAAAATAATTGTAGGGTCATCACTTAAAGAAGAAACAAGGTAGGGAGACCCTAAACAGACCTTATGTTTTATAACTAATTTCAGAACTAATTTGTTTCAGAACTAATTTCAATAACTAGAATAGTTATAGTGAGCAGACTGTACAAACCTCATCTGTTGTTCTGTTGGCCTGGAATTGCAAGTTGGCCAATTCATTCTTCATATCATCTTCTGAACCTGAAGCTGGTATCCCCGACATGTCGACTTTTATTATTTATGCCGTCTCTCAAGATATAATAAACAACTTAATTTAACTGCTCCCCCTCTTGGAATGTAGCTGAAGACCAATTCTGTTCAATTCAATTCAACTCCACTATATGTCTATTATTCACAATGAAATAGCCTATCAATCTATCAGGATCCTCTGAAATATAGAAATAAAGACATATTATAGAAGCTATTTTTAAAGAAAAACTAAATATACAGTAAATATCATGATAGAAAATTTAATCAAAACAACAATAAATGTACACTTATGGAGACAAACATGATTACAAATAGATACTTTATGAGTATTCCCAACTGTAATTCATGATAAACATTATCTCGAAAGTTTTACATATGAAATTATCTTCACAAATTATCTCAATATTTCTGTGTTTTAAGACAGGCAAAATTTGTCTGGAATTATCATCTACCAAACATAAACTCTACATACATTGTACTAACATACAATTCATAATATAAATTAATTCTAGAAATTGATGTACCAGCATCATGGTGATGCATGCATCATTTGCTAGTGAATATGTTTGACTTTCACAATTGATATCGAATACTGTAAATGAGCATCTAAATGGCCCATCTGAATAAAAAAATATCACTGCTTTTTTCTAGTATATATTACATTGGTATGTTTTTTGTATTATTATAATACAAAAAACATACCAATGTTTACCACTTAAAATCATCTATGAATACCTTTAATAATATTTTAGAACACCAGTCCTCATTCAGTTACCATTGCATTTTTAAATAAAAAAATAATGCATTTTGGCTATTCGCCTTCTGGCAAATTCTGGCCACAAAAGTAGTCATAAATTTGTCTTTTGTTTTTTTTGCTAAATATACCTAGTTTAAATTGAAATGTCACTTTAACATTTAGCAAGAAATTTAGGCTCTTTCATATAAGCAGTCAGATATACATACAAACACTGTGTCAGAAAAGAATAACCATTCTTGTTTAAAATGTAAGCTCGTCCAATCTCTTCATTTATCCCCAATTACAATTTTCATCCTTAGAAATAAATATAGAATTTTCTTTTATAGTAGAGGTCAAACAGCCAGACACCAAAAATATTCAAAGCTTTAAATGAAATGCAATTATTTCTACTATTTTGAAAGATTACCAATTACAATTTCAGCTTCTAAACTTTTGGAAATACTAACTCATAAAGAACAAACTTCTCAGTCTAAGTAATAGAATAAGTATTGGGAGACAGATGTTAGACATACTGTCTTCTTTAAAATATCATCATGTGCTGCAACAATGACTTAGGCTTGACAACCTGAAACCTAGAGGCCCCATGCTCTTATATACACTTATATACATGTACCCCCATCCCATCCTTGGGACTTTCTGGTCTTCAAATCTCTTTTAAAGGCTTGGGCCTGTCATATGTTACCTTTGCTCAAACTCCCTAGAGAAAAGTAGCCTCACCGACCATGTTGAATAGAGGGGACTTTGAATATTCAAATCCCATGGAAAGGGCCCTGTGGGGTCAGGTAGTTAAATCATTTGTGGGACTGAGCAAAAAATAACTCTGCTCATTTCTGCCTGTTATAACCAACACTGCCTTGATGGGGAAGGAAGTGGGAGAGGTTTATAACTCAAGTATAGCACATTAAAATTCAATTGTATCATAGTTTGGAGACCTTTCTGTTGAAAATGTGTCAGGGTTAAATCGTATACATATACATGCACAGTGCGTTAACTGGAGTGCGGGTATTAGTTACCCGCACTCCAGAGCATGCCCATTGATTGGCTCATTTTTGCTGGGGTTTACATATTTTGACAGCAGAGAAAGGGAAAGCGACAGAAATGTCATATTCAGATGTTTGTTCATTGGTTCATTTTTGCCGGGGTTTCATATTGTGACAACAGGGAACGCGCTTTTATGTTTGACTATGATACAAAAGAGAAAGAACACCAAAACACTCGGCAATCTGATTAATACTCGGGGGCTACGCCCCCTCGTACAAATCAGATAGCCTCGTGTTTCTGTGCTCTTTCTATTACCTATCTAGTATAGACTTACTATAGACTTACTTATGTATAAAAACAATATGATAGATATATTCATGAATGGATGACAGTCTCAGAGAGCAGCTGGTAGTCAATGTCAATTACAAGACAACAGATGGTCAGGTATATATTGTTACATTTCATGTACTATGGTGACTGAACAAACTGTTACAAATGTAAGGCAATGAAATATGATATTCCTTATACTTAAATGTAAGAATTTATTACTACATGGAATCTTGTGTTTTATGCCATTTTCATGATGAAACCAAATATAATATAAAAATGATTTACTGTCTTGTTACACTTTCTATTAAATATAATTAACAGGATACATGTATATACTTTTAACATCTTTTAACATGATATACTTTCAAACCCAATGAAAGCTAACTTTCAAGAAATTGATTCTTTTGGAGATTCTTTTTCCAAAAGAATCAAATATGAAAATTTAATGGAGACTGCACTCAAACTAGATAACCTTCAAGGGAAAGAATGAAATTTAAATAAATTCTGAGAAACAAGTGCAAAAAATCAATCAGAGAATTTTCAATTCATGAGAGAGCCAAGCCCTGAATTTTCTTGTTGTTTAGATGTCTCATCATGTGAGATATTTCATTATAGAGCTGGCATGAAGATAATATAATTCTTTGATGCTAAGTTATCTAATTGAGAAAAATCTGTTTCAACTTTAATGTCTTTGTTTTTCCTCTTATTTTTTTAGTTTGTTTTTTTAAGGTGACATTGCCAATTTTGTTTATCTGTACAGAAACTGATTGGATTGAATTTTACATCAAACCAAGACAAAAAGACTTAAATTACAAACAATATTTAACTTCTCCGGAATAAATAATTCCACATACACTTGTATGTAATTGTAATATTGAGTCTGTAATGAGCAAGAAACTATATATGATGAAGGAAGAGTAAATTATCGTACTCGTCAAGTGGTTAAAATCAACAATATAGTGTTCATTTTTATTTTCTAGTATTTATATTAGTATTATTTAAAATATTGTATGGTATTCACACCTTCTTTACTTAAAGACAGAAAAATTGCCTTGTGAAGAAGAAAAGAGGGGTAAATAAACAGTCTATCATACATTAAATGTACATTCTGATACATAAGTACTGATACAAAAACTAATTTTAAACTACAAAGAAATTTTGCTCTTTCTGGAAAAAAAAAAATCAGCCAATAAAATCTTCACATCAACCAACAGTAAAAAAAATCAAACTGTACATAATGCATGAACATGGCTTTGTACTCATTATTAGTAGGAATAGGTCATAATATTATACATGTAATAAGCAGCTGCCGATCAGAAGGTTTGTCTTACCAGTTGCCTAAAATGTCTATTTTTTAAAATCAACATGATAGTGCTCTGAAATGTTATAAAAGTGTTTTATATCAGTAATAAAGTCAATACTGTTATCAAAAATCATTAACGCATACTTTACAAGTTTGCTTTCATTTTTGAAAATCTTCTCTACTTTTAACATCTTAGCCAGAACTCAGTTGTTTACACACTGTCTGATACAAATAAAATTGATTAACAATTCTGAAAGTTGTAAATATGTTTTATCTCCTTTTCAATCTTATTTTAGAAACTCTTGTTCTGCATGTTTTCAGACAGATTCAAAGGAAACATTGATGTGGATTGAATCAATATCTGTCCGATTTTAGTGAAAAATATTTACAGAAATAGAAATAGTGTTCCATGTCTAAGTATTATGACATTGAAAAGCTTTAAAATAATCACAGAATTACGTCATTTGTTCTGAATGAGGAAGAAAAAAAAAACAATTGCAATATATCTTATTGCACTTCTATATGAATTGAGAGTCCTTAAAATACATTAAACCATTTCCATTAATATGCTATTAGTGACATAAAGTACTAAAGAAGGTATCAGAAAGAGCCTAAGTTGTTATCAATCAAACTTAAGAATAAGACATTCATGCCCAAAAGAAAGAAAAGCCTGTTAGCCGTGATTGGACAAGAACATAACTCCTGTTGCTGCAAGCCGCAAGCTATTGATTTCGGCAGTACAGACAATTATTTAGCCTATATCTAGAACAGCAGAGCAGAAAGAACATATAAATCCAATACTCCCAAATATAGACGTTTTTGCCTCTTTCTGGACTGGCAGTAATCAGTATTGAATAACTATACAATATTGGACAGAATTACAAGAAACAATAGATAGTCAAAGAGTGTTATTCTGCCCATAGAGATACATTAATGTCACATCTATTTAAAATCAAGGGGTGCATTCTTCACTGAACAAATATAGGAACAATTCACGTTAATTGGTTTCCAATATATATGCATATTATATGGAGCTACTCTTGATTTTAAATGGCCTCTAGGAAGACTGATTCAGCCTCATGTATAAACTATTCTATAGAAACATGTTTCATCAAGAAATCATTTCCTAAGTGACAATCGTAAGTGTGAAAAAAAAAAACTGGCATGTTCATACAATACATGCCTCCTATCCACAGATTAATTCTATTGACTTATAGCGCAAGCACACTCATGAAACAAACATGTACATTATGTATATGAAATATTATGATCTATTTTAGAGAAATAAGGTAAAAAAATTTATGTAACATAATAAATAAACAAGATATGTTTCCATAATATAAGATTTCCCCAATATTCCACTGTTTTGAGCAAACAGAAGGACAAATTCTACGTTCCTCCCTTTAGTAATAGGGAAATGGGGGCATTAAAAGTGCATGATATAATTTCATTGATGTTCAATTCATAAAATTATTATGCACAAAATTTAATAGGTCACAGCATGAGGATGGAGGAGTAATAATATCACATTTTATTTATTTTTAATACCCAAGTGCAGTCATTCATTGTCACACAATTTTGTTATTATTTTTTATATATACACACACAAAAGGCAATTTTAAATTATATTTCCTTCAACAAACATTAAAATTGATGAAATCTTAAGTGTTGCACTGAGAAATTCACAACTTAAAATGCAATAGTCTCAATCTTGACAAAACAATAACTTCCTTTTACAAGTTTTTGTAATATGTTCTAAATTTTCACTTACAAAAAGTTTTAATAATCCATCTCAAATTTTTCCATC